TTTTTTTTTAAATTATTAAATTAACAATCTTCGACGAGTAGAGAACAAAAAAGAAAAAAGAAAAGATTTTCGGATTTTTTTAGAAAATAAAATCCCGTTTTAAAGTGTACTATCTTACGAACGTATATATTATATACATATATCTAATCAATTAATTAATTAATTAATTAATTATCATCATCATCGAAGTGAAAATCAAATTTATTATCATCGATCATTGTGGATTTATATTTTATTTTTATTTTTATTTTTATTTTTAATTTGTAATAATTTCGATTAAACGAAAATCATTTATTAATAATCGACGAGTGGTTTAATATGAGATGACGTTTGATTTTATCGATAGATCATATCGTAATAATCGATTGTTTGATTAAAATTAAAGATACTTACGTATTTTATAATATTAAAAATCGTTTATAGACGTTTAAAGTTAAAGAAAGATAAAATAAAAGTACAAAAAAAAAAATAAATAGAGAAAGAGAAAGATGTTGGATCGAAATGTTGTGTTAGTGTTACGTACGAGACAAGAGAGAACGGAAAGAAGATTGAAACATAAAAAGGAAGCGAATCCACCCCCTATGGAACCACCTCCACAATTATTAAACAACAATCATCTTTATCTCGATCTTAACATGAAACTTGGTACCGGTAATAAATTGCATCAGGATAATATGAAGAGTATGAAAAAGGTAAATACACAAATTGTTTTAAACCCCTTTTCCCTTTTTTCTCTTCCTTATATAAGAGGTGGGTTTGAAAAATTTTGAGCTTCGACAGAAAACTTTTCTATTTTTTTTTTTCTTAAATAAAATTCAATTTGAATCGAGATGAATTGTTGCCCCTTTGAGTTTCGAAATTTGTCCTAATTGCAATACTTAAAATTGCAATTGGAAAAATATTGTTTTTTTTACATGCAACATTTTTTTATTCAACACAAATTTTCTTTTATAATTATAAAAACAACTGCTGTCCCTTTGAGCGCGAAATTTGTCCTAATTGCAATACTTAAAATTGCAATTGGAAAAATATTGTTTTTTTTTCACATGCAACATTTTTTTATTCAACACACAAATTTTCTTTTATAATTATAAAAACAATTGTTGTCTCTTTGAGTTTCGAAATTTTTCCTAATTGCAATACTTAAAATTGCAATTGGAAAAACATTGTTTTTTTCACATGCAACATTTTTTTATTCAACATACAAATTTTCTTTTACAATTATAAAAACAACTGCTGTCCGCTTTGAGCGCGAAATTTGTCCTAATTGCAATACTTAAAATTGCAATTAGAAAAATATTGTTGTTTTCACATACAATATTTTTTTATTCAACACAAATTTTCTTTGACAATTATAAAAACAATTGTCCCTTTGAGTTTCGAAATTTTTCCTAACTGCAATACTTAAAATTGCGATTGGAAAAATATTGTTGTTTTCACATACAATATTTTTTTATTCAACACACAAATTTTCTTTTATAATTATAAAACATAAATGACGATAGTAATTTTCTAATAAACAAATAGAAATAAATTTATGAAATATCGGTAATTAAATAAAAAAAAAATTAATAGAAACGCAAATAAAACTGACAACCATAAATGATATAGGGTAGTATTAGAGTTGCCGTAACATTTTACATTATTAATCACAACTTTGTGCGTAATGTAATAGATTATTATTTTTTTATTATTATTTATTATCCAATGGAATAAAAATTTTTCCGTAATTTATATTGCCACAATCTAACAGATTATAAAATCAACGAGTTTTTCGAACACACGTAATCGTATGTATGATTTTAAATGACACGGGTTTAATATACAAAATGCAATTCTTGATCATTTTTATTACGACGTAGTAGCACTTACGTGAATACTATTTGATTAATTATGCATTCATAAGTGATTTAATTATTTAGTATCTTGGAATTAGCTCATATATTTGCGTTCGAGACGTAAATAAATGAAAAAAAAAAAAAAAATACAAATAGGGTGAGAAAGATAATATTATAAATATTTTCAAATGATCTATGAGACATATTGCGATCGATCATTGTCATAATAATGGAAACGTTTTAAGGATAAATAATACATTTTTAAATAATTTTTTTGTTTACATCCTTTTTTATGAACTATCGTACATAAAAATTGAATGTTTAATAATAACAATATATATATATATATTTAATTATTATTTGTATAATATTAATACAATTAATCAATTTTTAATAGAACGAATATTTTTAAAGGTACCCTAGTAGCACAAAATATTAAAAAATATTGAATATATATATATATATAAATATATATAATAATAATATTAAAAAGAGATTTAATGTCTTTTTAATATTATTATTCAATATTTTTCAATATTTTGTTCTACTAGGGTATTTGAAACCTTTTATATAGGTCAAATCGGTAAAGAAATACAATAAACAAATAAAGATTTTTATTATTAACGATTAACAGATCCGTTATAAATTTTCTTTTTTTTTATATTTTTCTATAAATCCCAAGTAAAACAAGTACCTTATATAAGTATCGAGGAAACTAGTATAACCTGACCTCGTGATCATGATATACGCAGTCACCATTCGCCATTGGTGTAGGTGGTTGACCGCGTATGATTATTGTAAAAGATCCTCTTACTATTTTACAGTCAAAGATAACATTCTTAACATTCTTACTATTTATTTAATTAAATTAAATATAAAAAAAAAAAAAAAAACAACGAAGAAAATATCATCGTCACAAAATAATCTGTTGGAAATGATTTAAAAAAAAAAAAAAAAAGAAAAAGAAGTTCATGTTAAGTTTCAAAATGGCCGCCGGCAAGGGTCGATCGCATTGGATAAATACGAGAAAACAAATGATGAAATAAAGCAATGATGGCGTTTAACAACGTTTATTTTCAAGAATTAACGTGTCGCAATTCAATAATTACATGCATTTCGTATTTATGTAAGAAATTCTATTGAAAGAGATAAACAGATAGATAGATAGATACATAGATAGATAGATAAATAGATTGGATATACAGTAGACATTAAGGGGTGTTTATATAACTAATTTGTGGCTT